TTAAATCTCAGGAGATAGTTATCTTTAGTGAAATGTTATATCCTTTCAGGCTGGTTTCTTGGAGACTGTGTGTATATGATAAATTTCAAACCAAAGTCCCAGTTACAATTCTGACAGGATCTCCTGAGTTTTCTTTGCCAAAGACAAGTAGTTCCATCAACCGCCAATGTAGGAAGCCCTCTCCTTTGTTTTCTTGACTAAGGAGTGCAGTGACTAGAAGAAGCATTATTCTGGGAGAGGTCATTGGTTTGGTGAAGTGAGCAAGAGGCCAATGACATCGTTTCACTTTGCTTGAAGCAGCCCAGGTAGGCTAACTTTCTTCTAGAGCTTGGAGAGTGGGTAGTCAGTCCTTTCCAGCAAGATACACAGCCCTAGGCTAACATTACTGGTTGTTACCCACCTGGCAAGGGGTTTTGGCTGAGTCCCAGTGATTAGGTGTCCAATAGGTGCTAAGAGGCACTAAATTTTGTCCTGTTACTAGAATTTCTCATGGAGTATGTATTTTCTGTGATTTGAATCCTGAGTATTTTCACTAGGGAACTGCTCAAAGGCAGCCTAAGAGAGCTTGGATAACTTAAGGTTTTAACTTAAATAGAAAATAAGTAACTAATGAAAAATAAAAAGGTTTGAATTCTTTTTCCTTTCTTCTCTAGCTGGTAAATTTCTGTCTGTACTCTGGATTTAAAGACAGGGACTTAATCCAGGAGCACCACACACCGGAGAGCCTCACTGTTCAGTATCTCATTCAATTTTGTTTGGGTGCCTACTCTATGCCTGTGGCCCAGATTTGTCCCAGATTAGATTTCTTCTCCAGTTTACTTTTACAGGTTTATTTTCTGTCATTCCCTTCCATATTCTCTTTTTCTGTTCCTCTCTTTTGTCTCATTTCACTTCCCTATATTTCCTTTCTCCCATTCCCTCTTACTTTTCATATTCTATTGCCAATCTTTTCTTTCCATAGGTATTTTTTTCTTAATATTTCTACTTTATTTCTTTAGTATAGAAATGCTGTCAGCCTTTAGGAAAGTTTTGGAATATTCCTCCCCTTAGCCTAGAAAAATAAAAAAGCAAAGCATGCCCTAGCCGGGTTGGCTTAGTGGATAGAGCATCAGCCTGTGGACTGAAGGGTCCGGGTTCAATTCTGGTCAAGGGCACATGCCAGGGTTGTGAGCTCCGATCTCCAGTAGGGGGAGTGTAGGAGGCAGCCAATCAGTGATTCTCTCTCATCATTGATGTTTCTCTCTTTCCCTCTCCCTTCCTCTCTGAAATCAATAAAAAGATATTAAAATAAAAAAGGATATCTCACACACACACACACACACACACACACACACACACACACACACACACACATACACACAAAGCATTATTTAGAAGTAATAGGTCAGATGCAGTGAGAAACTAAGGGTCCCTACCCTAAGTTCCTGGCTCTGGATCATGGGCTCCTACTTCTGGCTGAGCTGCTCTCTCTTGGCCTCACAATCAGTAGGATTGTCTATCACGGCTTCCTTTTTGGAGACTCAATTTTGGTTTTCTGGATTATGTGCTAATTCTTCTCCTGCCAGAATTTCAGTAGACTCTTTGCTTTGTCTTCTTTTTTTGTATCTGCCCCCTCCCCCTGTATGCATGAATAATTCAGTACTGACTTTTCCCACACTTAACTCGTTCTGTTGGTTCAGGGAGAATTATACCTGAAAGGCATTCTGGTTTTCATCCCTTGATCCTTTCTAGTCTTCAGAACAACAAATACATCAAGGATTAAAACCAGTGCCTCCAAAGTCTTTTTCCTAATATGTGATCAGAATGCTTTGTATTTTTTTTGATTGATCTTGTTCCTGCCCATTTTGAAGGTTAGCCTTTTTCTCGTACTGATTTTTCCCCTTGGGGTTCTAATCACTAACCTCTTTTTTTTCTTCTTCTTGTGCTCATTGTTGCATTAAACTCAAATGGGAAAAGCTTACCCCTACCTACATCCTGCTATACCCACAAGTGTTGTCTGGAATCCAATGTTCAAATGTTCTTCCTTGCCTGTAAAGCCCACATTTGTGCTGCTCCCTGTCTCTTTTAGTGGAATTACCTACTTGGCTGTATAATGTAGAAGCCCAAGGGTCATTTTCCTGTTACCTTCCATTTGTCTCCAAGTTTTTATTTTTATTTTTTATTTTTAGAGAGAGAGAGAGGAAGGGACAGGAAGAGAGAGAGAAACATTTAAGTGAGAGCAAAACACTGATTGGCTGCCTCCTGCATGCCCCCTACCTGGGGTCCAGCTGGGAATTGAATCGACAACCTTTCAGTGCATAGAGGATGATGCCCAACCAACTGAGCTACACCAACCAGGGCTTGTTTCCAAGTTTTGTCATTTCTGCCTGGATTCCCCCCACCCTAGTTCATTAACTCTTTTTAATTTCCACGGTATGGATGCAGGTCCTTATCTCCTTCATGAGAAAATGTAAAAGCCTAACCTTATGGTCTTCAAGAGGCTTCTGTTTCCCATACTACTACTAAGGTGTTTTTTTTTTTTAATTACTAATATGAGGAGTCCATCATTTGCTAAAAGTGTCTCCTTTTTGGGATGGTGAATATTGGTTTTCCTCATTGCGAGCCAAGTGGGAACTTGGCAAGAAAGGAAATATGGGAATTTATTAGTTAGGTACATAGAGGATGGTGTCAGAAATGGCTTCCCTGTATAGTAACCTATAAAGCACAGTTAGGTTGAGCTCCCTTTCCAAGCACAGTGTTGCACATTTTTATTTTTGCTTGGAGCAGGATTTGTAATTGTGTTCATTGTTTAGTGCTGGCCGGAAAAACAGAAATAATTCTATGAAATTATAGTCGCTGTTAGATAAACTTGGCTGCATTATCAGCAAGATCCCATGGGCAGTGCATGTGTTTTCTTCTTCAGCCCATACTTTGGAGAGGAATTCTGAACCTAGGGTGTTGGTGCTTGACAGGAATTATTACAAAAACCCAATGTTTCAGCAAGATAGTTAAACTGCTGCTTTTCTCAGTGCATCTGGACCTTTAGGGTGACTCTTAAGCCTTGGCTTGACCTTCCCGATTTCCTTGGCCAGTTTCTGATGTTGGACCTGTTTGTTTGGTTCAGCCATGTATTTTAAAGTCTGAAACATTAAGATAATTTTAAACAAAAAAAATCTCTTTATTAAGATATGGGAAAACTATTTTTTTTCTTTTCCCTCCTTTTGATAATAGTAGAGGACCAGAATCTGTTTATGACATTTAAAAGCAGATTTTCCTTCAGGTTATGATAGCTAGAGAAGTAGAATCTCAAAGAATTCTGCATTGGAAAAATGTAACTCCTCTAAGAATCAACACTAAAATTAAACCAAGTATTCTATCTCATTTGATAAGGGGAGAAACTAGTGGGTATTGAGACAGTTCTGCACATGGCTTTGAGGTCACTAGACTCGGTGCAACTCAGCTTGCTCTTGTTCTCACAGCTGGTGGCTACCTAAGTTAGAAGCAGAAAGAATTCTGAAGAATTAAGTAAAGCCTGGGTGCTTTGACTTGTGCTTGTTCCACAGCTTTTGAAGATCCTGATAGTGCTGTCGATGACCGAGATAGTGACTATCGCAGTGAGACCAGCAACAGCATCCCGCCTCCTTACCATTCGACTTCCCAGCCCAACGCTTCTGTGCACCAGTTCCCTGTGCCTGTGCGATTGCCACAGCAGCTGCTACTTCAGGGCAGTTCCCGGGACTCTTGCAACGATTCTATGCAAAGTTATGATTATGACCTCGATTACCCAGAGCGGCGGGCTCTCAGGTGGGTGTTGGAAACAAAGCACTCTCTTTTCCTAGTATGCTGAGCTCAGGATACAACTGACATCAAGGATTTGGGCACTTTAACCTGAGGTGGTAATGGAAGTATAGCAGTAAGATGGGCCAAGATACAGTTATTTTGTGTACAGTTATTTTTTTCTCTTCCACACATTCACATTTATACGTTTCCATCAGAAATATTTCTCTTTATGATTAGCGATTCTCAAATGGTGAGAGAATGCCCACTGGGGGTGGATGTCTGGAAAAAGCCTGCTCACTTTTCTGCCCAGCCCGGAGATTTTGATTCACCCTTTACCAAAATTAAAAAAAGAAAATCGCAGATGTTAAATGTTTGGATAACCTTCCTACCTAAATATTTCCCTGGGAATTTCAGAAGAAAACTACTATGGATCTCTCTGTAGCAGATTCAGTGCTTTTGCTGGACCTTTAAATTTTTTATTTTATTAATTTCTTAAATATATAAAACATTTGCATGGTTAAAAAAAATGTTAAGGTGCAATACAGCATACAGCAAAGAATCTCCCACTCACACTTTTTGGCAAAAATAGTACAGATGATGTTTCCTTCACATAAGGTTACTTTGTCTCATTATTGGTGTTTAGTTTTATCTCTTGGTTAATAAATCTGTATATACCATGTTTTTCCAATGTAAAGTTATCTTTCCCCTTTGTAATTAGGGATTTCTGGGTTATATCTGAGGTTGTGTCAATATTCTGTTTCCCCAACAACCTTTAACCCATTCACTTTAGCATCCATTGATGATCCTTACCTGAATCAATTGTTTCATTGGCTGGAGGTTAGTTTTTTAAAAACCATTCCAATTTAGCACATATTTTGGTTGCTGAAATTCACCTACGTTAGGATGATCCCTTTAAAAAAATATTTTTATTGTTTTCAGAGAGAGGAAGGGAGAGGGAGAGAGAGACAGAAACAATGAGAGAGAATCATTTTTTGGCTGCTTCATGCACATCCCCTACTGGGGATTGAGCCTGAAACCCCGGCATTTGCTTGACTCTGAATCAAACCGTGACCTCCTGGTTCCTGGATCGACGCTCAACCACTGAGCTATACCGGCCGGGTGATGATCTCATTTTTTGCCCCACCTTACCAAACTGGTGAATACTATTTATATCTTGAGCCTCAGATGATGGTCCACCTGCTAGACATCATCCTGTCTCCATTTACTATCATTACTGAGTATATTTTCAATGAAAATTTTTTCATTTATCAACCATCAAATAGAATTCTCACTCTTTATAATCTGATTCTAAAAAGAAACATGCCAGGAATCCTACTATAGTTGGTCCCTACTCCTTGCTGGTTTAGTATTTAAATATTTGTATATTTTATTCATTTGATTTTAGTTGTTTATATTGTCCCAACTTTAAGAAAAAAACACACACACACAACAACAACAACAAAATAAAACCCACATTTTTGGCCCTCTTTCCCCTCTGTATTTGCAAGCATTAGATGTACAGGCCAGTAGTAATAATGGCACATCAACCTAAATGACTACATACTCGGCTGGACAACTGCAGTTGCCTAATAAATACCCTATTATAATTTTATTTACTTCCTGGGCTACTGCTATAATAAGTAACACTTAGAGGAGCATTAGTGAAATACTTTAAGTTGCAAATTTTTCCCCTAAAATTTTTCTTTAATTGATCCCATATAAACCTGATTTTACTGTATTATATGAAATGAGGTTAAAAGTAAATACTTTATCAATTTCAGCAGAGGAAAAAATTAACATGAGTTTTTAAAAATATATTTTTATTAATTTCAGAGAGGAAGGGAGAGGGAGAGTGAGAGAGAAACATCAGTGATGAGAGAGAATCATTGCTTGGCTGCCTCCTGCGTGCCCCACACTGGGGATTTGAGCCAGCAACCTGGGCATGTGCCCTGACTGGAAATCGAACCATGACCTCCTGGTTCATAGGTCAATGCTCAACCACTGAGCCATGCCAGCTGGGCAACATGATTTTTTTTTAATCTTTATTGTTGAAAGTATTACATGTGTCCCTCTTTTGCCCCCATCAACCCCCTCCAGTCTACCCCTGTAAGTAAACTTTTATTATAGACATTTTTAACTTAAAGGTTTGAAGTGATTTCTTTTTTAAAACTTTTTGAAGAAATTATATCACTAGCATTGATTTTTTTAAACTTCTCTATTACTATAAATACTAAATTCTTGGAAATAGTCTAAGTTCTTAAGTTGTACAGTTTTATAAGAAGAACATTTAAAAATCTTGAGGGAATAAACATGTTTGCAGTATCTTCCAATAAATCAGAAGTATAAGAATAAATAGCTTCATTCACTCTATCCCTGGCTATCTATTGATTTTAAGTTGTAACTATAAAGACTTTTTTCAGACTGGACTTAGTTTAGTTTGAGTTTTTGAGAATAATGGAGAGTAATGGAACTGCATGTAAAAAAAATATGTAAAGTTGATTTCCTCACTCTATCAAATGGACTTCTGCCTAATGAGTCCAGAATAATGGGAAATGTATGTAAATTATGTAAAAATACCTAATTTGAGGTTTGATAGTAGAATTGGACTTTGTTATATCGCCAAAGTATCTCTAGTGTTAAGGGGTTGCAAAAGACTATCAGTCTCAAAGACTAAAAATCTTAAAGATTTTTAGCCACTAAGTTACAACTTTGATCTTTTTTTCTGTTTCCTAAATAAATGCTATTCGATGCTAGATCTATAAAAGAACACACTGAGCTGACAAGCTCCTAGTCTGTAGGCTCTCTCTACACCCCTACCTCACTACATGGGAAGTAGGCAGTCTCTAACCTAACTGAAAGAAAGGTCAGCTCTCTTCTGTATTCATTGACTTAAGTTGAACATGTGGCTTCTGCTGTTGTACTCAATATAGAGAAAGATTTTTATTTCACTGTAATCCTCAATGCATATAGTCTTAGATTTCACAAATAACAATTATAACGCTTTAAATAATTTGCTTTTTTTGGCACTGTAACAAGGTTTGACTTCTGATAGTCAAAGACTATTTTTATTATGCGTATATTTTTTCTTTCTAAAAGAAATGTGTTTGACCATATTGTTGGCTATACTGCCTCAAATATAACTTTCAGCAGGTTAACAGCTTGGCTTCTCTTCAGACCCAAATTCATCAACAAATTTAGGTTTCTTGAAATCCCTTGATATATTTTCATGGAATACTTAACAGTTTTAAAGTTGGCATTGTAGATACATTCTGTATACCAGCGATTTTCAACGAGTGTGCTGCAAGAATTTCGAAAACATGCAATACCTGACTATTTAGTCAGGGGCACTGACCTCTTTTTCCTTAGATTGTCAAGTAAAAAATGACAACAGCCAACAACAACAGCTATCCGGTGTGAATGAATCAAAATCATACCTATTTTTTTTGACAGATTGGCAAAAATATAATGTATTTTTTTGGTGTGTTGCAGAATTTTAAAAAATATATATTTTATTGATTTTTTACAGAGAGGAAGGGAAAGGGATATAGAGTTAGAAACATCGATGAGAGAGAAGCATCGATCAGCTGCCTTCTGCACACCCCCTACTGGGGATGTGCCTGCAACCAAGGTACATGCCCTTGACCGGAATTGAACCCGGGACCCTTCAGTCCGCAGGCCGATGCTCTATCCACTGAGCCAAACCAGTCAGGGCGTGTTGCAGAATTTTAGTAATTAGTTTATATGTGCCATGAGATGAAAAAGATTGAAAATCGCTGCTATACTAGTATATTGCTGAGACATGTTCATTTAGTTTCTTTCTTAGAAAATAAAGGATTTAAAAAAAACTTATGATAGCTAGTGAAGTATTTAAAAGTTACTATTATAGCTGTTCTTTTTTGATGTGGAAAATACTCTTTTACTACATTGCTATAATATTAATTTAAGATCATGTGGATTTCCTTATATTTTTCAGTCTGAATGGTTTTTATTAAATTGATAATTTTACTAATTCTAGTTTTCTTATTGGATGTGCACTAAATCTTATTTGTTTCTTTTCCCTGTTTTTCCTTTTTTCTTTGCTTCATATTTCTTCAAACTTATCTCTTTACACTAGACAAGGTTTACAGACTAAAACTGACAGAATTAGGATTATTTCAGCTTTCTCTGATACTGACTCTAAAGAGCAAGAAGGTATATATGAGCAGACAGAGGGGAAAACATCACAAGAGTTGCTAGAAAACAGTAACATAAACATAAAAGAAGCACAGATAAAGGAAATTAAAACTCTTTCAAAAACTGATAAATGTTACAGCCAACAAGTACAACCAAATTACAAGAATTGGAAAAAGATACCCTTTCAGAGCCAAGAAACAGAATTCTCTACTGCCTCTAACTTTGACCTTAAGTTTGAAGCATCTGTTTCCTCCAGATATCCTCAGAAATATGATACAATTGATAGAAGGAAAAAGAAACCCTTGTACAGTCATTTGGAAGACAATGAAAGAAGACAATATAATGATAGATTAGGAACGAAGACTAACTTCAAAAGTATGTATCCTAATAGTGAAAATTGTAACCTTTGCGACATTGAAAAGAAGAAAAATAATTACCCAGTTTTGCACCCCTACAAAAATGGATTTGTGGTTAAGTGTGGCATGTGGGCCGCTAAGTTGGAAAGTCATGATTATGATCTTCCAGGTTGTTTTAAGAACTGCGAAAAGTCATCTGGCTTAACCCAGCATGTCACTGATTTCATTCCATTGGATATTCTTGAAGATTCTACTAGCAGTACTTCTGATGAACTTCTGGATTCGCCCATTTCTTCTGATAAGCAGGAAGGTTTACTGTCACCAACATGCCATCCATCCAATGTCCATCATATTAGAGGCTTTCCTAAAGAATATTATGTAGCAAATCCAGCATTCCCATTACAAAGGATGAATTGCAATGCAAACACACTTGGAGATCTGTCTGGGTGTCCCATGGAAGAGAGAACCCTTTCTTCTACTGAACCTAAGGAGAAC